GCTGGGCTCGCCTCTGCTGCGTCCCCCTCTGCTGCGTCCCCCTCTGCTGCGTCCCCCTCTGCTGGGTCCAGTCTAACAGCAGATGCCCTTCACTCTCAGCCCCGCCCTAGAGCCCCGTCCACATCACCCCGCCCGAGTCCCGCCCACTCCACACCGGCCCCGCCCACAGCACACCTGGGCCCCAGAGCCCCGCCCACTCCACACCAGCCCCTCCCCAGCACCCTGCCTGGTACACATCTGTGCCCACACCAGCCCGGCCCCAGAGCCCCACTCAGTGCACGGCTGTACTCCGTGTCCCACCCACTATGCCTCTCCGCCCTGTCCCAGAGCCAGAAAGCACTCAGGGGAGGGACTCTGCCTGCTCTGCCCTTGCTGTCTCGCACTCTCAGCCCGGGGCCCCACACCCCCTCGCCTGGAATGCCCTGGGGGCCGTACCCACCTCCCTCGTCGCTGGCCTGGTATTCTTCTGTGACGGGGAGGTTAACCCCTCCACCTCAGTCAGTGGTTGAGGGCAGGGCAGGCCCACAGTTAATCCTGGTCTTCTCTCCCTCAGTGGCTCAATGAAGAAAAGATTGTCCAGCGTCTGATTGAGCTGATCCATCCCTCTAAAGACGACAATGTGAGTTCAGGCCGCCGCCTCGCGCCTTTGCTCCCCGTCTCTGGTGTCTTTGCTCACACCAGCTCTGTCCAGGTGCCCCCAGGCAGTGACAGACCACACGTGTCTGCTCCCACCACGAGGAAGAGAGGCTTCCATACAGAAGGTGCTTCTCTGAGGAAAGCACCTTGGAGGGGGTGATCCGACGGGCGTCCTGAAAGATCTCTTTACTGGCCCTGTCCCCTGCTGGCTGTCATTATGGCCTCCAGTACATCTATCATCCCATCTTGGACTGTGCCTTGGACAGAGCTTCCCTTTCCCCTGAGCAGCTATTGCCTTGTGACGGCCTTGGCACCAGCCCCTTTTGGCCTCAGATCCTCATACCTTCTGAAGTTGCATGGCCCCACATGTCCGTGTGACTCCCCAGCCCGCCGGCGTGTTGCGCTCCCCGGGCACTGTCATACCCATTCCCGTGGCCAGTGTCTGGCCAGCACGCTTGCTCAGGCCGCTCCTGACGGGTGGTGTCCTAGTTGCTGTAATGCTGTCGGGGCTCTGAAGCACAGCCGTGTCCAGGGGGACGAGCCTTCCGTGGGGGGCCGTGGCCTCACTGCCGGCTCGCTCAGGACTCTGTCTCGCCTGGTACTGCTCTGGAGATGGGCGCACACACTCGTCCACATCGATCGGGAGAGCAGTGGTTCCCACAGACACCCCTCGGGCATGGCTTCCGTTCTAGACACGTGCAGCAAAGCCGGGGGGGTGGTAAACACCAAGGCTGTGTGTGCGATGTCCTACAGTTTCGAGATGTGCTGTGTGTGTTGAGAAAGTTCAGAGCGTAGCTGTTGTTGTTGTTATGTGCCGTCGAGTCGCTTGCGACTCATAGTGACCCTATGTACGACAGCCCCAAACCCTGCTCTATCCTGTGCCAATCGCACTGTGTCTGACACTCCCATCCCGATTTCCCCAGTCACT